GTTGAACGATGATGCACGGAGGGGACTGTAATTAATGCAATAAGCAAACGCAATGAGAGCCGTTGGCGAACTTTGCTGTAAAGACTGAACATTTCATACACATAAGGAAAAAAAAAAAAAAAAAGGCATAAGAAAAATAAAATAAAAAATGAGGCCAGCTATGGTGTCCTGGTAGTGTAGAGGTTACGAATTCGGCTGTTAATCTCACGGTTGACAGTTCAAAACTACCAGCTATTCTATGGGAGAAAGATGAGGCTTTCTGCTCCCATAAAGATTTATAGGAAACCCTGTACAGGGTCACTATGAGTCGGAACCAACTCCACGGCACATACCAACAACAACAACAATGGACTCCTGGTGTGGCTCTGTAGGGTAAGTACGGGACCACATAATGGCTTGAAGCACAAGGTTGGCGGTTGGCGTTGCACTGTGGATCAGCACTGGAATGCGAACCACAAGGTCACCAGTTCAAACCCACCTGTTGTTCCTGGGATACCTTATATTGGGTTGACATGAGATGGAAATAAGTCGATGGCACCTAACAACAACAACGGTAAACGAGTGACTACACTCACATACACACTGCATGGGCCTGTCCTCTGAAGAAGAATATGGCAATAAGACAGCAAAACCTCGGACATGTAAACTATACACACAGGTACTCCCGCTGTCCACCTGGCTGTCTGAGACACAGGGACACACAGAGGTTGTTCAGGGATTGTATTGTGAGAGACAAACCTCTATGGACAGGAGAAAAGCAGGAGCGGGCAGCGAAAATGTGGACCTGCAGTGAACCGATTTGAAGGCCTCGGGCACTGCAACAGTCCTCTAGTTGTTCCAGAAACAAGGCAGTCACGTGCACATCCTGCTAGCCAGCAGAGTCAGGGGCTCTGCACGCTCCTGGGAAGAGGTGTGCCACCGGGCAGCTCTGTTATCACCAACTGAGCCTGGTACAGAGCAGGGAACCAAGGCAACTGCTTGCCTCTGAGAACACACACAGCAGGATCGCTCCCTATCCCACTAAGGACCCCAGCACCAAGGCCTCTATCACAGGAGGTACCCTATCACAAGGTCGGCAGTTCAAACAACAGCTGCTCCCTGGAAACCCTACACAAGGTCACTATGGGCCAGAACCAACTTGATGGCACTCAGAACAACTGACAACAACAACATCATTACTAAGGAACCCAGGTGACACAGTGGTTAGGAACTGAGCCGCTCCCTAAAAGGCCAGCAGTTTGAACCCACCAGCCTCTCAGTGGCAGAGAGATGTGGCAGTCTGCTTCTGTATTGGTTCCAGCCTGGTGAGACCCGATGGGGCAGCTGCACCCTGTCCTATGGGTACTGGGAGCTGGAAGTGACTCACACAACATTGTTAGTATTTATTAAATGTAGAAAGGGGGGGAGGGGGGGGGAGAAGGAAAAGAAAGGTAACGGCTGCCCTTCCTGTATGGAATGGAGTCTGGGACAGACAGGGGACACCTGGAGTCACACTGCAGCTGTGTGTGACTTACTGACAGGGAGAACACAGAACAGCTTCCCACGAGAGGCCAGGTGGGGTCCTGGTGTGGCACTATGGGATAGGCACTGGACTGCTAACTGCAAGGTCAGGGGTTTAAGCCCATCTGCCGCTCCTCAGAAACCCTAGATGGGGTCACTGTGAGGCAGAACGGACTTGATGGCACTAACAACAAGAGATGGTGTTGGTGGTTGGTGGGTACGTGCAGTGGAGTCGGTTCCGACTCAGAGCGACCCTGTACAGGGTTTCTGAGGCTGTATATCTTTACAGGAGCAGGAAGCCTCATCTTTGTCTTGCGGAGTGGCTGGTAGTTTCGAACTGCTGTTGTTGAGGTTTGTATCCCGATTCGTAACCACTACGCTACCAGAGCTCCTTAAGGAGACATGGTCTGTGATTAACAAGGACACAGGGGCTGAATCCCTTCACTCAGTGTAATAGTAATTCCGTAAATCCAGGTGCAATGTCTAGAGCTTTAATAATTTTGGAAACATCTGGCTAGGCTACTTCAAGCAGCTGAAGAGACCCTTTGATTTTGGCTGGCTGTCCTGAGTGGCACCGATAGAAAACCGAAGGCACTTACTCCTTCTCCTTCAGCTCTGGCAAGTCCAATGACCAGTGCTCGTCACTGATGATTTTCTTTTCTTCTTCTTCCAGCTGCTTCTTGGTTTCTGAATCTAGGCCTCTTTGCATGAACTGTAAAAACAAAATGAAAGAACACTGCTGTCAGCACAACCAACTTTCCCAGTCTAAGGCGCTGCAGGGTAAGCCACGGGTTGCCAACCACACAGTCAGAGCTTCAAACCCATGACCTGCTCCTTGGAAACCCTAGACAGGGCGGCTTACAGGTTGGAATCAAACCCGCTTGACAGCAGCAGTTTCCGAAAACTCAAGCAGCTTTCTTCTTCCACCTGACCTCCCCCACTCTCCCAGGATTTATCTCCTAAGACTCCGGGAGGAACCGCACGATATTAAGCACTGGACTGCCAATCACACGGTCAGCAGTTCAAACCCACCAGTTGCTCTCTGGAAACATTGGACAGAGTCGCTATGAGTAGGAACGTCAGCAGTTCAAACCCACCAGTTGCTCTCTGGAAACATTGTATAGAGTCGTTATGAGTAGGAATGCCAGCAGTTCAAACCCACCAGTTGCTCTCTGGAAACATTGTACAGAGTCGCTACGAGTAGGAACGTCAGTGGTTCAAATCCACCAGTTGCTCCTTGGAAACGTTGTAGAGTCGCTATGAGTAGGAATGTCAGCAGTTCAAACCCACCAGTTGCTCTTTGGAAATGCACAGAGTCGCTATGAGTAGGAACGTCAGCAGTTCAAACCCACCAGCTGCTCTTTGGAAACGTTGTGCAGGGTCGCTATGAGTAGGAACCTACTTGACGGCATGTAACAGCAATCTACTGACTGAAGGCAGGGACATGTGATACAATAGCCCAACACTCCCGACACCAGCACACTGGAAGATGCCGGATAGAGCATGCCAAAACACATGAAGAACCCATTTCTCTAGCTCCTTTAGAAAACTTGAATTCTTTAACAGATAGATGGCACTTATCCTGACTTCAGGAAACAGGCAAACTAATAATGTGTTCAATCAAGACAGTGAAACTCAAGGGGACTGCCTTGCTTTTCCACAATTGATAGGGTGTCACCTTACCACGTTTCTATCGTCTGTTTTAGTGGGAAAATGTCCATTTCCTTCCCAGACAGGCTCCCGTCTTATACAAGTTCTGACTTTTGCAGGATTTACATATCCGCACAATGGCCTATGAAGGGCAAAGTCTAAAGATGGATGGGCTGGGAAAGAAAGGAAGGTGGTAGAATGGATGAGCAGACAGACAGGGAGAGGGAGAAAGCAAGAGGGGGCAGAAACCAGGTCATGATCAGGTGAGGGGACAGAGCAAGTCTGAGCTTGCAGAACGTCCTGTCTGGCTTGGAACCCACTGGCCTTTGCACCTGCCGAATCTGGGTGGGATGCCCCTTCTTGGCCCCTCCCACCTGGCCAGTGCCCAGTATTCTGCAGAGGTGGGTCCGACAGGGGCAAACCAGCCAGCACTCTCTTGATGCTCCCCCGGCACCCTCCCACCTTCCCATTTCTGGAGAAGGGGTCTCTGCTGGCAACTGTAGGGTAGGACCATTTCCACCTTTGGCTGCTGCGTGATGGCTGAGGCAAGGCCATCTGCAGGCCTGCTCCGCACTTCCGCCTCACCCCTGAGCTCGTCTGTTGCTTGCTCTCAGGGACAGGTAAGCAAACCGGAGCACAACCTCAGCAAATTATACAAAACCATCATGAGGAAAAGCAGGCACGAACCCCCAGGAGCTGCCGCTGTTAGGTGTGGGGTTCCACTGTGCTTCCACATATCCCCAAGTCTTCCTCCCCCACTCCAACTCTCCCAAAGGGAAACACAAGCCAGTTTTGGCAGAAGCGCTTTTTCACTGACCACTAAAGGGCTGACAAAAGCTGCAATGTAGCGAACCACCAAGGGTGTGTGGACGTGTATAGGGTCTCTATGAGTCGGTACCAACACAGTGGCACCTAACAACAACAACAACAATGTACATTTAGAAAGTTGGTGAGATGGATGTAGAATTATAAAATTTACAAATAATCTGCTAAACAGCAGTAGGCTACAGTTGCTTCTGCTAAATAATCCACGCCGTGTCATGGGATTTGTTTTTGCATTGCCTGACCATCATGCTTTTACATGTGCACTTATTACTAAGAAGTTGCTCTAATGGAGTCTTATATTATTATAGTTGATAAAATAATAATGATATTTTGCAGTTGCTGTGCATCTCTCTTTGTTCCCTGACTTCGTTTGCACAGGAAAATTAAAGGAAGAAATTGCTATTTAGTGCCTTTATACCTCTGCAGCATAAACCAGCAAGAAAGCACAAGTTCAGAGTTATCAATGAGCAGAAGCTAACACTGCCAGTGTCTGGATCTTACTTCCACCGAAGCACTGTCTACAGGGCAGTTAAAGCTAACCTTTAAAAGGAAGAAACACAACAAGTGATCCTGTTCCCCGTTGCTCCATCATTTCCCGTTGCTCTGAAGACAACACCCTTTAACCAGGCCTTCAATGGCCAGCTTGCTGTGGCTACCACGGCCCTCTTCCACAGCCCTACTATGATTTATGTGTGGTCGCTTCTTTTCCGTGTTATCCTCGGATATCTAACACGCCTTTCGCTCTGTTTAGGCCCCTAAGCTGCTCATCTTCTGATCACCCTTCAGTCTCTACTTCAGGGAAGTTCAATGATGTTCCCCCGGCTGTGGCTTCACAGTGTTCCTTCCTAATTGCTCATTGCCGGGTCTGCATTCAGCCTCCGCCCGCTCGCTTCACTCACTATCCGGCTCCCGGCGCCTCGCGCGGAGTGAATGAATGAACTCGACAGCTGAGGTTTCTCCAGGGCCTCGACCGCACCCTCCCCGGGACACCCGTCGCCTGACCCATGTCTGGAGGACCTGATGTCCCGACCGTCCGACCCGCCCCGAGTCCCGCACCTTCATGCGCAGCAGGTTCTTGGATAACTTCGGCCTATGCTCGGCAGCCATGGCGCTCCCTGCCCGGCGCCTCGTTAAGGACGTCCGCCCTGCCGCGCATGCGTGCTGCTGCGTGGTCGCGGCGTCTGACGAAACGCCTGGCGCCAGCCCGTGGCTCCGCCCCCTTGTCTGCCAGTCTAGCGCCTCCCGCGTCACAGCTGGCCTCTCTGGAAGCGCTTGTCTCCTGAGGAAGCGCCAGCGAAGCATGGTGGCCGCCGACGCGCGGGTGACAGCGTCTTAACTCTCGTGGGGGAGACCTGACGTCGAAGGAGGCCCGAGAGAGAGCCTGGCCGCCGCTGAGGCCCCCACACGCGAGTGAAGGGTGCGTCCCTCCGGGCCCCGTACCCCCGTTTTTTTAACCCGCATCGTGGGCTCACTGTTTTCCGGACCCGGTTCTCTCTCTTAGTCCATTCTTGACAGCTACCCTAACCTGGTGCAGTGGGGTAAACTGAGGGAGCGAGGTGGGAGTGAACGCGGGCAGTCTGACTTCAGAATAGCTCTTAACCACATTGCACACAAATCAGATGAAAAACAGTATTAATTCACCCCTTAAAACTGTTGCCTGTCTGCCCGAAGGGGCCCTTTACTCCACAGCAATAGCCAGAGCTTGGGAGGGAGCTCGTTTACTGAGCCTCCGAAGAGCGGGCTTTCAGCTAAAGAACCCTTACAACGTGGAAACGGGCTGGTTTATCATGCGAAGGAAGGGGTGCTGCCATTGTTCATGGAAAGATGGAGGTTGATCTCCCTCTCCCCTCCCCCAACTGCGCCATGGAAGAAAGGGCTGGCAAACTCCTTTCATAAAGTTACCCAAGTCAGATCCGCTGCCATTGACGGTGATCCCACAGGACAGAGTAGACCTGCCTTGTAGGGTTTCTGTGACGAAATATTTACAGAAGGAAGACCATGGAAGAATTGATGCATTTCAGTTATGGTGTTGGAGGAGACTATTGAAAGTGCCATAGAGTGTCAGAAGAACCAACAGATCTGTGTTGGAAGAAATGCAGCCAGGGTGCTCCTTGGAGGCCAAGATGGCCAGACTCCCGACCAGTTGTCAGGAGGGACCAGTCCCTGGAGAAGGACATCATGTTTGGTAAAGTGGAGGGTCAGCAAAAAGAGGAAGACCCCCGACGAGATGGACTGGGCACAGTGGCGGCAGCAGTGGGCTTGAGTGTAACAACAGTTGTGAGATCGGGGCAGGACTGGGCAGTGTTTCTTAGGGCATAGGGTCGTGATGAGTTGGTACTGACCCAGTGGCACCTAGGAACAACAACAACAAAAACATATACTGAAGTACGTTGCCAAATCTTTCTCCCAAGGAGTGGATGGTGAGTTTGAACCATTAACCTTGTGGTTGGCGGCCCATTGCTCACCCTGCAGTGCCACTAGGGTTTCTTATGTTGTTGTTAAAGTGCCGTCACATCAGCCCAACTCAACAGTGACCCTGTATAGGGTTTCTGAGTATTAGCTGGTGAGTTTGAACTGCCGACTCTGCCATGTGGAATGATCCTATAAACCCCAAACTGCCCCACCGTGTGGAGTCGGTTTTAACTCATATAGGATTTTTGAGGCTGCAGATATTTATCGGAACACACAATCTCCTCTCTCACATGGGTTTGAACCACCAAACTTGGGGTTAGCAGCCCAGTACCTAACCCACTGCACCACCAGGGCTCCTTCCATAACAATGTCAGAGTTTGACTCTCTGTTTTAAGGTCGCTGTGGGTTGGAATCAGTTCTCTTGGCGCCTAGCAACAACAGTCAGAAACCCAACCCAACCCGCTGCCATCATGTTGATTCAGACTGAGCAACTGTCAATCTTCAAGACTGCAGATCTTCATGGGAGCAGACAGCCTCATCATTCTACCATGAGCGGCTGCTGGGTTTGAACCTCTGACCTTGAGATTAGCAGCCCAAAGCTTTAATTCACTGTGCTACCATGGCTGCTTTGGGAAAGGGAAAGCCTCCCCTAAAGATCTGACATTTAAGCTGAGATCTGAAAGGGGAACAATTAGGCTGGGGAAAGGCCTTGCAATCCTAAATAATTGTGGTAGAAGATCCTGAAGCCAAACCAAAATTAAACCAGTTGTCTCTGAGTTGACGTAGACACATGGCAACTCCATGTGTTGGAGAGTAGAACTGCGTTTTATAGGGTTTTCAACTGACCACTTGAAAGCAGGTTGTCAGGCCTGTTCTAAGGTACCTCTGAGTGGATTTGAACTGTCAACCTTTTGGCTATAGTTTGCTTAATAGCTTGTGCCGCTCAGGAACTGTTGCCCTGAGACCAAGAGGGGCTTATTGAGCCCACTGTTGTTAAGTGCCATCGAGTCAGTTCCAACTCATAGTGACCCTGGATGGGATTTTCAAGGAGTGGCTGGTGGGTTTGAACCACTGACCTTATGGTTAACAGTCCAATTCTTATCCTACAGTACCACACCAGGACCCTTATTAAGGGCATGGAATGGAGAAAAGAGGTTGTGTACAGGGAAGGGGAATGCCACAGAACATGGGATTGGAAAGAAACACAGGCGCTGGATTAGGCAGGGCCTTGGAGGTTCTGCTCAGGATTTTGAATGAAAAGCTTTGGGAGTAGAAGTGAAGAAGTGACTGAGTGTAGTATACAGTCTGCACCCTGGATAGTAGGTGAGTCTTAACTAGACCTTAAAGGATGAGCAAGTATCTTGTCAGCTTCAAAGGAGGAAGATGGCATCAACAGAAGAACTGTGTGAACCAGCTAAGGCCTATGTGTATCTGTCTTCCTGCACACTGGATCCCGATTCGTTTCCCTAAAACACTGATTTCATTGTATCACTCATCTGCTCCAGAATTTAGAATAGATTATTTCTGACAGATAAAGGTGAGGCTCTTCAACCTGCCATTCAAAATTCTATGTTGTATCTGACAGTGAAAATACTTATAGTTGCCCCAAAGTGTCTTTTCACTCATCAAAATGTAATAAATGAGAAGTGACTTAAGAGTAATTGTGTACTAGCCTTTAAATTAAATTCCCTGACAGAGAAGATACCTCCTTGATCTCTCTCTCACTGAATTGTAGAACAGAAAGCATGGGTCACATACTCCATAATGCGTTAACCTTCATTAGTTACACAGCCAGGGAAGCAGCGTTTGAAGGGAAGAAATATTTCTAATCAGTCTTCACAGAATTCTCTGCCCTTTCATAATGGAAAGTGTTGGATGTGTGAAAGGTTCCAGTGCCTGCCAACTATTGGATCCATCAGGATGACATTTCTCAACTCTCTTCACTCTCACAGCAGATTCCACCTGATGCGGCAGCCACCAGCCACGTGTGGCTCCTGAGCACTTGAAATGGGGCTGAGGAACTGAATTTAATTTTTGTTAATTTAAATGTTTTACAACTGTGTAAAGTATGGAAGGACTTTCACTTTAACCATTGAATATGTATCATCTGAAAGTGTAAACTACATACCCTATTTGAAAGACGTAGAGTGAAACACAGTGTAAACACTCTTTAGTGTTTTTTTTGTATTGATTATATGGTGAATAACAATGGCCTGGAATGCTGGTTTAAATAAAACAGTCTTAAAAAGCAATTTTACTGATTTCTTTTTTTAATGTTTTATTGTGAATTATATGATAGTTTACATGGGGGAACTTTAGTTTTACATTCATTCCATCATATATCATCTCACTGCCATGGTTCCAGTCCCCTCCATGCATCATCAACCACCCAAAGGGTATATCCCAGAAACCCACCTCCTACACTTCCCCCTCCTCCCCCCAGTTTTCGGCCCACAGTCCCTTTCCCTCTCTGGGTCCAAAGTCCCCAGTCGCTTCATCACTCCATGTCATCATCACTGTCTCCATCTCAGGCATCTCTGTTTCTCTTGGAGGGTCCCGCCCTCGGCTCTTCTCTGTTGATGGTCCCAGAGGCCTCCGCTCCTATCCTGGAGAATTAATCACTCCCTTCCTTGTTACAAAATTTCTACCTTTGCATTTCCAACCCTCATAGTCTGTCCTGATAAGCATTATTCGCTACAGTATCACGAGTTACCCATCTGTATCTCCTTTCATCAGCTCCGCCCAGGCAGATTGAATAGTACCTACTGGAGCTTCTGCCTTCTGCCATGCTCCCTAGCACCAGGTTCCCTCTTGAAATCTTGTAAGCCAGTCACTTCTTGCCTTTGTAGTCCCCCCTCCCCATTTGAGTATCCAATGTCCAAGCTGCCCTTCTCCGTCCACTCTGTGTGTGTGTGTGTGGGGTGTGTGAATGTTTCTTGCTGTGAGGATTTGTTCCCTCTTATGAGTCACTGCTCCATAGGTATAGGTCAATTTCATCAGACTGTATTACTGATTTCTTTTTACTTATTTTAATATAGCTGCTAGAAAATTGAGAATTACATGTGGGGCTTTCTCACAAATTGTTTCTTTTTTTTTTTTTTTGACAGCATTGATTTAAGGGTTGTAACAATTACCCTTGCCTTTCCAGTGCAGAGTAGAGTAGGAGAGGAATGCTTCTTCACGAGACTACAAAATTGGTGTGTTTAGCTAGTACTTTTTATCGTCTCTTTTTTATGCCAGAAACCAACAGTGGCTTGTTAAATAAAAAAAGAACTTATTAGAAGAATGCTAGGTGACTCATGAGTTGATGAGAAGGTTTGAGAACAAGGCCAACCGAAAGGTTTGAGGTTTGAATCCCCCAGAGGAGCATCAGAAGAAAAGCCCGGCGATCTCTGTGGGGTTGCCGTGAGTTGGAATAGGCTTGATGGTAACTGGGAACTTGAACTTGACCCATCTGACTAGTAGTGCAGCTGAGCTCCATAGTGTTTTCAGTGGCTGATTTTTCATATGTAGATCACCAGGCCTTTGTTTCAAGGTGCCTTTTCGTCTTCAACCTTTCAGGTAGCAGCCTAATGTACTAATTGTACCACCCAGGGACTCTTCCCTGCTCTTAGGACAGTTCCATTTTCAAAGTCCTAGGGATAGTTGAGTTTTAACTAAGGGAGGGCAAAATCTGATTTATAGTACCAGCAAGA